GCCCGCGGCCTGGCTGGTCTCGAGGGCAACCAGCCAATGGCGCCGTCGGAAGGAACAAAGGAGGCGGGAAAGAGCTGAGGGGTGCGGCTGAGAAGCGGGGTCCGCCGCCTTGCGTAGTGGCGCTGCAGGGCGTGCGTCCGAGGTGTCCTGGCGGCGGCGCCTGAGGTCAGTCGGGGGCAAGGCGGCCGCTCCGTACGTGCGGGCTCCGAGGCGTGATGGCGAAGAGTTGGGCACGGAGCACGGGACGGTGGTCTGGGGCTCCCTTGGTGCCCGCGGGACGCGGGAAGGAGGCCAGGAGCCCCTGACCCCTGCTGGACCGGCCTCTCCTTGTCTTTTGTCGGAGTCACCCTTGCGGATGCAGGGAAATGTCGGACCGGTCGGGGCGCGGCAGAGACTTTTTGCATTCGTTCCACCTCGTGGGAACCTAGTACAGTGGGTCCCAAATCCACCTGAGCCTCGACAGGGCAGAGGTGCGCTTGAAGCGCTCCTTAGGGGGAAAACCGCCCTCAGTTTTGGCCCAAAGTCTAGAAGGTTAGTAGAGCAGTAGTTCCTACCTGGGGCTCTGACCTGACTCCTGAAGGGAGAAAACGCAGCGCGAGCGCTGGGCGCTGGGCGCAGGGCGTGGACGCCCATCACACTGACACAACAAAGCAAACGCTGCTCAAGGGTGTTCGGCTTTTAGCATCTTCGTGTAGTAGGGACTGGCAAACTCGAATATGGACAGGCGGGCAGACCAGGTTAGTGGATAGCAACCCTCCACTTGCTAGGAGGGAAAGACAGCAGTGCTACTCTTCATTTTAGCTGGGGTTGAAGTGTGTAGGAGGGCTTAAAATCAGTGACCTCTGGGGTGTGTACACAGAGCAGCCTGCAAACGGAGCATGAATGGTATTTCACTGGCAGGACATGAGCCTACGTTCTATGTTTTTTTTTCCACAGCAGTGCCACTAACCTTGTTACCTAACCATTTGCCCTAAAGGAGAACTTTTGCTTTGAGGTCTGGCAGGTACAAGGTATCAATCTGTTGTTTCCAGAGTCTGTCTTCCGCGGCCAGATGCAAGATGTGATCTCTTAAAAGGGTCTTAATGCACATTGATAAGTGGACCGCCCCCCTCCCCGCCAAAAAAAGACCCAGACATGAGAGAGAAAGCAATTGTTACAACAGGTTCCCTGAAACACCTATTCTGCCATTGTCCTGTGACCATCCTGTAATGAACTGAAGAGCATGTACACTTGCAATAATGTCCTCATAACTGGCCCTATAATCCTGCATATAGAAGGAGGCTTCAAAAATCTCTGGAAAAGTTCCACTAGCTTAAAACAGTTTTTTCATTGTGAATGGGGTGGAGATTTACAGAACAGATGAGTTTTCCATTCAACCGTTCAAACACATTTTGTTTCCTTTCATTCATTGCCATCCCCACAATGTAACGTCCCTGATCCCACTTCCTCCCTGTGCTTCCTGTTTCCATTTCTCCTTTTTTCCTAGCCCTTCTGATGCTGGGCTAATGCTGCCCTTATGATCTCAAATGGTTGAATATTCTAATGTGTGTGTACCTCACTATTGTTACTGTTCTCCTTTAGACCTGTCTATTATTTGAAAATTAAGCAAGGGGAGTTAGTTCATTTCTAGACTACAGGGTGACTAAGGGCCTTAGTCTAGGGGATCCTAGACTTTTAAATTTAAATTCAAATTCCATTATTTTTTAGGTGTTTTATTTCAAGAGGAACTGAACAAACAAACAAAGCAAAAGCTTGTGCTGTAGAGTTGACTTCTTGGTTACTGCTTCCATTCTATGGATGCGGATCCAAATAAAATGAAATCCTCTGACTAGAGGGCCATTATGCTTTCTACTTATTAATCAATCTTCCTTTTGGATAGAAGGGTAAACAGCCCCACAATTGAGATGGTTTCCCTGGAAAGACTTCTCCCAAAGTGTAGCGCTAGTTTGTTTGAGTCAAGCTCTTGAGGTTATACTGATGTGGACAAAGAAAGGAAAGTGAAGAGACACCTTAAATTTAAAAACCCACATGAATATTTAGAGTAGGTCTTTGCTCTCCTGCAAATTACTCTTTATTCATTTACGCAGGAAACCAACAACAGCTTGAGAATATTTAACACCTTCCCTACAATTTACCTTATTTTTAACCACAGTAAAATGTGCACAGAATATATGCACATATGTATGTACATATTTATACAACTATATGTATATATGAGGGAATTCTAAAAGTTCATAGAAAAATTACATTATTTTAATTTCAAATTTCCACACACATTAAAAAATTATTTTATTTGGAGATCTTACAGACATCATAACATTCCATAGTTCAATCACATCAAGCAGTATTGTTCAATTGCTACCACAATCACT